TTAAAACTTATAGAAGTTTGGTGTGGGGAACAATATGGGGAACAATAATTTTTAATTAGTATCTTTTGGGAGTTAAGGGAAGAGTTGAGGTAGTTTGGCACAATGGATGAACCAAGGATGCTTAAATCTGAGATAAGTAATTTGATAATGCTTTTCCCCTTATGGATCATTAAGTCTTTTGGTCTTGTATCCCTAGGACCACAACTACACAGGAAAGAGAGTGATGACAGAATTGATTAAGGTGTTTGTCTATGGGACCTTGAGAAAGGGATTTGCAAATCATTACTTCATGCAGAACAGGAGAAACGGAGTGGCACATTTTATAACTACTGGACATACCAAGGATGCCTTTCCACTTGTAGTAGGGACTGATGCATCCATTCCTTTTATGCTTCCAGTAAAAAATCAGGGAAAGGTAAGTTGGAGACATTTAGTATCAATATCAGTCTAGGCTCAATTACCTGACACTATTCAGGAATATGAGCCCGCACTCCTCCCCTCAAACCCAGGGGAGGAGCAAAGACCAGACAGGGAGAGTGGCAGAAATCAAGCTTTTATCTGACTATAATAAAAGTTACTGCAGCACTGTAGAGGGGGGGAACTGAACTTCTCAAAAATTGAAACTAATCACCCTATTTCTGGCTGAAATGGCTTAAGACAATAACTTTGTTAAAAAGGTGGTTGTCCAAACACAAAACACTGTTCATCACTCACAGTGTGTCAGTGGCAATTATCAAAGTGGTTCAAAAAGTATTTGGTAGCTGTTTCACTCTTTAACCCTTTACACCCTAAGGTTAGTGTGCATATTCTCTATATTGTTCTCAGTACATTTTTTAAGGTGCTGATAAGGAGAATTTGTTTAACAATCAAGAGCTTCCTTAGTTCATGATCATTTCTTTTATTCTCACAACCTTAATGTGGTGATTCACAGATGATATTGTAAGGAGAAATTAGATGATAGTCACTCCTAGTGATTAAAGGGTTAGAAGATCCAATATAATAATGTTTTCAGTTTTATTTTTCATTTGATGTACCCAATCCTCTTTTCCAAATGAGGATTTAGAATAGTGGGTGTTTCCTATACACAGTTTTCATATTTCAGGCTGTAGTGGGCTATGGCAAAATAATAAATACTTCAAGTAAAAGACCTTGTTTCTTTCTAGGGAGTTGGATAATCATTTACCTTAATTATTTCTTGACCAAAGATGGTTTGTTTTATCTTTTACAAATCAGCAAGTCCATGGTGAGGTATATGAAGTGGATGAGAATGTTCTGAGTGAACTGGATGATCTAGAAAATCACCCAACATGGTATAAGCGTTCAAAATGTGACATTATTACAACCCAAGGAGCAACAGGAATTCAAGTAGGAGATATTGTACCATGCTTTGCCTACTTTTTAACTGACTTCAAAGAGTCATTTTTATCTCAAGATTTTCTTAGTGAATACACCTTGGAGTGTAACCAAGCATACCTTGAATCTGACAAAAGATCCTTGCCCTGTGATGTGATTATCCAGTCCCAAAGAAAAATGACCAGGAATTAACTTATCACTGGTTCTGCATTTAATGGCTCATTTAAAGACTTGCAATTCAAGACTAGTCGAAAGACACGTGTTAGAACAACTCTTCACCAACAGAAAAACATAGTATGTCCTCTCTGCTTGTACAAATGATACTGGTCTTCAGATTAAATCTCTGGAAAAGGAACAACTGCCTCACAGTATAGATTTGTCAAGACTAAAGCAAAGTATTGGATGTCAACATTACTTTAAGAGTAAATTTTATCAAAGCTTCTTTTACAAGGTACAAATACAATACAATTCTCATAAAGAAAATTAATATTTTGAACACACTTTGTGTTACTGAATGTGCTATACAATCCTATTTCGCTTTATAATAGTTTAAAACTCCTTTTTCATTTATCTAAGTTTTGAAAAGCCACATAACTAACAATATAAATTTTCAAATATCTATGTCTGATGCCTTGTTGGGAAAATAAAATTGAACACTGTGTTAAATTTCAGATTACTTAATAAAAAATTTAATACAATGATTAGAAACTAGAAACTGGGTAACAGTCTAGACCCTCAGCTTGCTCTGAAATTACAGAATAATTACTGACAAAATAATCGTTAGTCAGCAACCACATAGTCCATCTTTTTTCAGGATTCTAAATTAAATGAGAAAAGTCAACTTTTCAGATGTAACCCGAGTTCAACAAGACTTGTCACTTTTTTGATTACTTAAGACTGACATTAATTTGCAACGGTTGACTTTCCTCATCACAGTGGGAATTTGGGAAGTACAATTTTTTTAGATTGCAATTATATTTTCCATTGAACATAATTTATTTGTACTAAAAACTTCATCTTTCAAAACAACCTGTTTGCGTCATGTCAAATTATTTAAGTGCAGGTGCATTGAAAATAGCCCTTAAGTTTTGCAATTCAGTTTACACTGAACTGAGGCTATAATCAAATGATTGCAAATTGACATGAGTAATCCAATTCTTTACTTATCAATGGAGACATTTTTTGAGAAATAGCAGAATGGGACAAGTGTTTAATCATGACAAGAACATTACCAATCTAACAGTGATTCCACTAAGATTGGTGAGGAGAGAGTGAAGAATTTTTAGTGCTAGATACATAGCTATATATGGCTTTCTCAAGAAGTTCAGCTCTCTTCATTTCTTCATCATGAATTTTTTTGATTTCATTTTCTTTGCATCTGAGCTGTTCCTTTAGTAGTTCCAATTCACTGACCTTTATGCTTATAGCATCCCTGTGTCTTCTTGTCATTTCAGCTATTCTACTTTCCAAATCAGAAATTTTATCTCGTAGCTCAGACTGAGTTTTCCTTTCTGAGTCAAGTTCAATTCTTGACCGATTGACCTCATTTCTGTAATCTGCATCTTTCTGTTCCAGTTGTTGCTTCAAAGTTTCCATCTGCCTCCTCAACATTTCACTATCTCTGTGTGTAGAATTAAGCTGAGACTGCAAATCTGTGATCTGTGTCAACTGTTTTGTGTTTTGGATTTGAAGCTCACTCTGTGATTGCTGGATTTGAGATATATGCTCATCATACTGTCGGGATCTAGTAATTTCATCTTGTTTTAACCTTGTCTTTGTGTTACGGAGTTCTTCATCTGAGGAGATCCTCAACGAGACCAACTGAGATTTCAAAGTGCTAACCTCCTCTTCAAATGCAGTTTTCTCTTCCTCCAACTTCATCATCTTTTCTTTTGTGGCTTCACGATATTCCAGAGCTTTCTGCTGCAAATTGCTTACTTCTTTTTGTAGCCTTCTTTCAGTATTCAGAAGCTCTTCCTGGAATTTTTTATCACTAGCCTTTCCCCTATCAGCAAACTGGGTTTCCATGGCTTCAATATCTTTCTCTAAAGTACTTATCTTATTCTCATGGCTCTTATTTCTTCTTTCAAGAATGTTGATTGTTTTTTCTAACTCCTGATTTTTCTCCAGAACCTCATTCATTTTCTTTCTGTGGAGGAGTTCTGTTGCAGCCTTGCTTTCCTTTTCCTCTTGCAGTTCATCAGTTAATGTCTGAACTGCAAGCTTCTGTTCAGAGAACATTTTTCTGGACAAAAGTAATTCAGAGTTGGTGGTGGACAATTTTGATGATAATGAATCAAATGCTGCTTTCCTTTCATCCAAAGCTGTTCTCAAGTGATCAATCTTGGTTTGCATACTTCTGTTAAGCTGTTCCTGACTGGATCTCTGTTGGTCAATTTCTTCCTTCAAACTCATCACCTAACATTAATCAAATGAAATATGGACTTGAATGTAATACATTTCAACCTTTTCTCATCATTCTTGTAGCCAGGAAAATGATGAGAATGTACAACAAGACATCCTGTGACACTTTAACAGCTACTTCAGTCATTTTACCCTTTACCATTTTAGTTTGAGCCTGTTTTTGGTAAAACTGCTCACCAAAAAAACTATCAGTCACTATCATCCACTCATTCAAACAGCAACAACTATCATCACTTATTATGTTGAATTAGAAGATAGTCAATGATAGTTTGTGCTCAAATGCACATGATAATTGAAACTATCATCAACTATCATGACCATTTGAATATTTGAACGGGGGCAGCCATGGACAAGCATCCTAACCAGGGGGAATAGACAATACTCCCAGTAACTTCATGCTATGGAAACAGGGATAAGCTCAAGCCAGATAGAACAACTTAGACTTTCCCTATCTCCTTATCTAAATAAAGTGCTTGATGATTATACTTACATAAGCAACAAAAAGAGATGCACCACTAAGGGTAGAATGATATTGAGAATTGTAACAATATCCTGTTTAATAATTAGTTATCAGTTTTATGGCAAAAGATCGAACATACCTCCTGTCTTTTTTTCTCTTGTGTCATTTCCAATTCTCTTGTTAAAGCCTCAGTTTGGGCCTGATGTTCTTCAAAAGCTACTTGTCTGTCACTGTTCTGTTGGATAGCAACAGACAAAGCCTGAACAATATCTTGAGGAATGTTGTTCCCTGTGTAGATTTTTAATGAAATCAATCAAGCAAGCTGTCAAAAAATCTTGTTTAATTTGGTAAAAGATTGTAACTTATTTACCATTTTGTGATAAACACTGCATGGAGTAACTTTTCACTGATTTTAGTTTTGCTCTCAAATGTCTTCATTTTATAGCCATACACAACCTTACCTTTCTCCTCACTATCAAGAATTCATGTGTGAAGTTAGGTTCACAATGCAATAACTACACTGAGATTTTGTCCCTAAAATGTATATTTGGACCTATAGCTAAGGGCTTTTTTTAAAACTATCAAATCTTATAACCACCAGGTCTTGTTCCGACTTCTACTTTTTTTTTTGCTTTCTTTCTTTCTTTTTCTTTCTCTTGATGGAAATCCAGAGTTCGTACAAGCATAATCAACTTTCAAGGACAATAATCCCTCCTATCCTATCACAGAATTTCAAATGGGACAACAACATAAAATTTCAAGGTCGTAAAAAAAAAGGCACTTTTAGAGAATCCTTCCCATCTGTGATACATGAATGGTACCCCCAACATCCCCTCACCTGTGAGTTCCAACCCCACAAGCCTTTTGTTAAACTTCAAAGCTTCCAGTAATTCCCTTCCACCAAGGAGGCCGATATTATTCCAGCGTAAATCTAGACCTCTTAAACATTGGTTACGTTTTAATGCAACAGCGATTTGACTTGCTCCTTCATGGGTAATCTGATTATTCCTCAAATCGAGAAATAATAACGCTTGATTGTGAGCCAGTCCCTCACAAATAGCTCTCATTCCATTATCCCACAAGCCAAGCGAATTCCACTCGATAAGTAGACTTCGAACACACTCATTTCTCTTCAGGAACTGACCCAAGATTTCTGCAGCCCCAGCGCGAATGTTATTCCCTTTCAAGTTCAACCGTTTGACGGCTTTATTGTCTATCAAGCCTCTAAGAATGATTTTGCTTGATTCTTCGCTAAGCAGACAGTCGGAAAGATTTAGCTCTTCAAAGAACAGGTCATCTGTAAGAACGCTAACAAGTGCATTACAATCCTCTGGAGTGAGGTTACAACAGGAAAGATCTAATTTCGTCGCACTCTCAGGCGTTGATCTACTTTCACGAAACTGTTCGCCGTCTGCATAGCTTCGAATATGATTTAGAACACTTTCTAATGGAAATACATGATGTTCTCGACATATTGTAGAGTAGCGTTTGTGAAACTCTTCCATCTTCTTCAAATATTTTGCCTAGTACTCCAAAAAACAATAAAACAACGCTGCAACAAGTGGTAACGGACTTTAACGGCCACTAGTTGAGTCAAATACGTCAAATATGGCATTGGAAGTGTCCTCGGGAACACTTGGCGTGCAGAGGCGTGCATAGTAAATAGTCTTTGTTTGTTGTCATGGCAACAACACGAATGTTTACAGAACTTTTTTAATGGCCACTAGTTTGTTCATTTCCATGGTGTTTTTGTCGATGGGCTGTGACTCATCTAGGCTGTTTAAACTAGCCAAAAGCTCAAATTTCAAGGTGATTACAGGTAGTTTGTAATAAGAACCATTAGGAAACTAACTAAACTAAGGATAGTCATTCAATAATCAACAAGTGACATTCACCCCAAGAAGTCAGGATGCAAAAGAACAACGGATGTGAAACAGTGCAAGTTAGTTATCGCTCCAAAGTTGAATTCAATGTAACGAAGGCCCTGATCCGTTCTCGAAGCGACTGTTTCTTGGAGTCAAAGCGAGCGCGTGAACGAATGCTTAAAGAAAAAGAATTTGAAAACCGAACTCCATGGGACATCAAGCCACCGGACTTCACACTTCAAATCTACCGTCCAAAGCCTCCCAAACGAAATACAAGAGAATCTATGATACCAGGTTACAACGAAGACGAGTGGAATGAAAGAGCAAAGGAGAGAAACAAACAGCGGATTGAATTTAAACCTATTTCTTTACCAAAAATTCTACAGCCCCCAGTATCACACAAGGTGCCTTTCTCCACTCAGTTTCGTATTCCGGACTCTCATGCTGCCAAAATCAAGTACGTTAGGGAAGGTGTACACAAACGTGATCCTTACGTTACACCGGGACCTCATGCCTTCAGAGGGGATAATTTCAGACCAGTAAGTTGTTATAGTTAAGTAACCAATTAAATCAAATATACATCTCATTATCTGTTTCATAAAGTATAATAATATAATTCCTGTTATTGTTATCAATATTATTACAATACTATTGAATGTTTTAAATCGTTTTGGTTGATATCTTACATCCGTTCAGATTTTTTGCCCAAGAGCATTTTTTTGTTCATGAACGGTGGTGTATAAAACGCCAAAATAACGGCTAATTGCATAATACATAAAAGAGCACCCTAGCGTGAGTTTCACCCACGAAGTCATGATTCAAGACAGGGATAACTTAATGGCAGACTTTTTTTATCCTTACCCTCTGAATTCTTGGACAGGGGGGAGGTATCTCTCTCTCAGAACCTTTGATATTAAAAAATTATTAAGACTAGATCAGCTTGTAGACAAGATGGCACACTGTGCTAGGACATGAGGCAACTAAGACTTTTGCTATTCACCCCAGATGGGATGCCAGTTTATCATAAGTTTCGTCCCACATTCTATCTGTGTGAGAGTAAAGAATTTTTCCCAAGAACACAAAAAAAGGGACCTAGTCAGGGCTCAAACCCCCTTAATTCCATCAGGAATCCAGTTCACTGGCTTAACTAACACATTTTCGACAAAGAAAAAATTTCTGCTGAATAGTAGGGAGAGAAACTTTTTCAAAAAATGCACATATTTTAAATTTGTGATTTATAGCTGGAGAATCCAAAAACATATGGTTTGCCAGAGTTCGAGACTACTTATGATCACGATCCAGGAAATTTGAAGTTCAAGTCCAGAACATTGAATGTCCTGCATGACCGTAAGTGTTCTAATGCACCTAAATGTAAATTATTCAAACTACAACTTCAGCAACATTCTCATTCTAAATGTAACATCAGTAATTTAATATTAACAGGTATTTCAATTGAGTATGATGAACATCATAAGGAAAAGAAAACAAAAATTGTTTGAATTGTTCCATACTTTAGAAAATTTCAACACTTAAATTTATCTGTACTACAATTTTCAAATAGATAATTCATGCAAAATTATGATCTTCATCGCTAAATTACAGTCACTGTGTAATAAACATGATCCAGGCAAAAATGAAACACAATTACCAACCTATTCTCAATAACCCTTTGGTGATGTTGCTATGATTGCATTATATGATTAATTATCAAATCAATCCCTTTTTTAGCCTATACAGATCAGTTTATAAATTGTAAGGATGGTTATAGAAAACAGATGATAACTTATAAAGAGGAGGAGTGCGAATGGGATAAGTCACTCATCTTATACAAAGGGGTAAGTGGTGTAAACTAAGTTGATGGAACACACAATTATTACTCATGTAAGCTATTTAATAATTCAGTGCCTTCTGCCAGGCCAATTACCTAGAGTTCCAACACCTCTCTTGCCTTCATCTGCACATCATGTTAATTCACTGCAGCAGTACTATTTGCTTTAGTGGTTATGAATGAATAAAGAGAGATGGAGAGATAGATAGGAAAGTGAGATGAAAGAGGCTGGACTGTCATGAAACTGATACAAAAACAAATTTCTCTCATTTGACTGTCTTACTTTTACATTCCACTGTTTGTCTCATTGTGGATTTTTAATGGCATCAGAGGCATGTACAAGTACAATGCCTATTAGAACATAACACAATTTGCCTTGTCCCTTACTTAACAACACATGCTTGAAACTGTTCTCTGTTTCTCTTTCACAAAACTTTGCAGCCATACAAAAAGGGTCATTTGCCAGGAAGTGCTCTGATGAGACAGATAGCCAAACAGCTGCCATGGTGTTCACCCCAAGATAAGATTGAACAATTTTCAAGGCCAGACATTTTTGACAATAAAACAGCTGACTGGTTAGAAGTAACAGCACATAGCAAAGAACTCAACAGGATCTAAAAATTGTTAAAGAGCATGCAGAAATGTGCAAAGTAAACATGGTTCTAGTGTATGTAAACAATTGCGAATTACACTTCATAGTGACTGGCATGCTACAGCTTGTTGTGCATCACATCATTCAGGATTCTACATCTATACATCATAGTCACATGACTTGAACCTATATTAAAGACTGCAATAAGGGTTCTTCTACAGTGCAATAGTTAACAATTATTCACCAAAGTGGAGCCACGAACTGGTGATCAGGGTAAATATCCACCACTTTCTCCAAAACCATGGTGAATAATTGGTTCAGTAAATACCACACAGAAACTGAAAAGAATTAGTTTATTTCAGTCTGTAAATATACAAAAAAATGGTTGGAAATTGAATTAGTGACATGCAATTTTGTCTCCTTGGTTGCTTGGAGGTGAATAGTACTTGCTAATCATTTCTGAACCAGCTAATCATCATGCATGAAAAGCAACATTCACCTGTGAGGTATAAACTAATTCAAAATATGTCAGACTGGAAAGTGTTCACTCTCTGAAAGTTTATTTTTAAAAACAATCATGTCTCCCCATCCTTTGATAATGTGTTACAAACATTTTTATACAATCACTTACAGGCAAAAATGAAATGAACAACAAACTATTAATTTATTCTATTAGAAGTACATTTTTTTTGGTTATTGTTGCATTTTTTTCCAGAAACCATGTACACAAACATAATATTTAAGAATATTTAAATTCAAATTTTTCTTGGTCAACATTAAATAGAACTTGATGTCAGGAAGAGTTTCTGTAATAATTATTATTTATTACTAAATGCAATGAAGCACAGCTATTTTGTAAACACAAGTTTGGGTATTAAAGTAACTTTTATCAATAAATATTTTCCTATTCTTCCCGATGATATGGGTTCACTTTAACATTAAAAACTTCAACTTGGAATTTAAATTATAACAGATGATTCCACCTTCCAACATGACATTTTCAAGTAAATAGTATTCAATTTTGCACACATGAATGATACATTATGTTATAAATGTTTCATATGAGTAAGTACAAGATTTGATGATCACTCAATTAAATTCATTCAGGCTAGATTCATATTATGTGCTGCTGTTATACTACCAACTCAGCTGAGGTTACACATCTTAGGAGGGAGCCACACTTTAGTGGTTTTTGCTACTAGACCAGTAAAGGAATCTGATCACAACTACATGAAATGCATCACATTTTGAACTAAAAACCTTAAAAATGTACAGAAATGATTCTTGCAACTGAGTTGCAATGAAAGAAATTGCAGATAAGAAGCCATAGGAAAAATTTAGGCTTTGACAGGATTCAAAACCATACCCCCAAGATACTAGTTGAGCACCTCTACTAACTGATCTGCCAATCAACATGTGTTGGGGGTGGGGCAAATTTTGGAACTTCTTTGTTCTCATGGGGGAGTCTGATCACAACCGAATAAAATATATTATCTTATTACCTGTGGATGATACACAAGTAGAGAAATGAATCTCACAGGTGAGCCACACTTAAAGAAATCCCAGAGAGGAAGCCTGAATTTTTTCCATTTCTTCATCCTGCACACATTCCTACACTTAAAAATTGATTCATACGTCAGCGTGTGTTCATTGAGATATGAAGCACACAGAAAGTTTGAAGAGCACGAAAGATGCGTAAGAGTTGCTCGAGGCGTAGCCGAGAGCAACTCTAGCTTTGTGAGTACTCTCTAAACTTCCCAAGTGCTTCATATCTCGATGAATGCATAGCTGACATATGAACCAATTGTTTTATAACATTTTCAACCCAATGGAAAATTTTCTTCTCTAGGGATATGTTTGTTGACGTCATGAGCATGCACAATAGGAATATGAAGCACGCTCGTGAAATTGAATTTGATTAGACAAATTTACTCGCTATGTTATAATACTAAACATTGCCTAAGTTTTCAAAGTTTCTTGAATTAAATATAACATCATTTACAGAGTAAAATTTACATTTCCTGGAGACTCTTCAATAGAAAATCTCAAAATACAATGAGAATGAGCCTGCCTGTCCTTGTTCAAATTTGAAAGGAATTTAAATAACTTCAACAAGTCCACAAACATCCTCAAATAAAAGTTTCTACATTTGGCAGCTGTCATTATGATGAACTCTCATGCAAAATGAATCAGGTTGATAATCTTTTTCATTATAAAACACAAAAGGTGAAGTTTAAAGGTATAGCTATTCTTTAAACACAACATGTAGAAAGCTGCCATATATGTCACCACAACTGAGTCACAAGTACAGTGTCAATTATGAAGCTGTTTCATCTTCTGCCAATATCTTGAGACTTCTACACCTTCCCAGGAAAGATTACCACATGGCTCAAAAATACTGCAAAAGATAGCATTATAACAACATTATCTCATGATGCACTTCAGTAATGTAAATGGCATGTCTCACAGCCTTCCATTAGTTTTAACCACGTTTTCAAAACCCAGAGGAAAATTTTGATGCTGAATGACTTTTCCATTACTGCTTTTCACATGGCTGATGAAATGTACGTGTAGTTATCTTAGATGTAGTAATATTTTCTATGTATCATCTTTTTCCTTCCAAAAGTGACCACTTCAAAGTTCTGATGTAAATGTAACTACTAGCAACACATACACAATAATCATTTAAGACACCTTAAAAGCCTCTAATAAGGATGGTATTACTGTTACACTTTTACACATAACACAAACAATTTTCCTCCATTTCCAGAAATCATCTTGAATGAATTGCATCTGACCATTTTATGGATGCATTTCTAGACTTGTGTCATGAGTACAGAGCTATGACTGAAAATTTAGTCTGTGGTAGATCTTGCCTCTTGCAGGCCACCACATACTCTTGACATTTTATTTTTTCCCAGCAAGTTATTCCACTTTAATTTCATCACATTTCATTCAAAAGGAAAAAAGAAAAATCAACATACTTGTCCCTTATATACAGTAGACATCTTCTCTCAGCATCTGATAACTTTTGACTAACTGCATCAATATTCTTCTGCAGATTTTGAATGCTAGCAGTGCTGACCAAAGTAGTTGGAATTTCTTCAAAACCCAAAGTGAAATGAAGTGCAAGCTTGGAAATATCGACCCCTTGTTCCTTCAAGAAATGGGTGAAAAAAAATATTTTTTAACATGAATCAAAGCAGGTAAAACAAGCTTTGCACAAAGATAGCTTTCTCAAAATCATAGAACAGAGAAATGTCAGGCAAAAAACTGTGACAGCTCAGACAACTCTAAAACATTATTGGGTGATATTTCTATGATTGCTATCAGGCAGTGTTAGTGGCAAATTCATAATTATTGATTTTACTGAGAGTGGAAGTCTCTTGTTTAAGTAGAGACTATTCTTGAAAAAGCAAAAAAACAAGCACAGTGCAAAACAACAACAACAACAAGAAAAGATTGAAATATTTTCTATTACTAATCAGTAACTAACATACATAGCAATTCTTAGAATTTGCTCTGAAAGGAAATGTGTCATGGCAGGTGTCCCCCAGAGATCTCTGCTTGGTCCATTGTTATTCAACAAATATATAAACGAAGTAAACTACAATGTTCTGAACATGGTACTAAAACTATATGCCAATGATGCCACTGGATACAATTCTAATCCTTTGTCCTTAGCTCTACAGTTCATGGTCAATAAGAACTTGTACATGTTTTCTACAAGGTTTGAGTAAAATTTACTCTCAACTAAAAACTCCACGACACAAGCTATGATCCTTGGCTCATCTACATACAAGCATGATCTTTTAGTCAACAGAATGGAGATTAAAGTGAAGCCTACTCTCAAGATTCTAGGAGTAATATTGGATAGGAAGATTTCTTACAAGGCACATATTTCAGCAAAGTTAGCAAGCATTTATTCCAAGACCTCAGCTCTTAACCCTTTAACTCCCATGAGTGACCAAGACAGAATTTCTCCTTACACTATCAATACAATATTAACCAGATAAGCGATGAGAATACAGAAAGATATCAATTTGGGGATAATTAGCTAATAAATTAATTAGCGGGATAAATTCTCTGAACTAACATTAGAGGAATTGTATGGTTGACAGTAAGAAGAATGACAAATTTGATCTGGGTAAACAAATATCTCACTTTGTTCCCATGAAAACTATGATTCTCCTGTATAGATATTTCTAGTTCCATGTTTAAAATATTGTAATACAGTTTTAGTTTGTCTTGGTAAGGTGCAGAGCAATAGACTCCAAGATGCTAACTATTATATCTTAAGAATTCTATTTGGGACTAAGAATGAAAGCTAAGAAACCTTACTGAGTCTTGTAGGCAAAAATACTTTAAACACTATTGTTATTACCAAGCTCTGGTGTTGATTTATAAATATCTTAACTCAATAGGTCCAAAGTACTTTGCCAATTTTCTGAATTTAAGGGATGTATGTTATAATGTAAGGGATAAGGGAAGTAACTTGGTACAGCCTCCTTTTAACACTGAGTGGATGCAAAAATCTTTTCCATTTATAACTTGCAAGCAGTGGAACAAGCTAATGTTATATACTGGGAACTCAGATAAACTTCAAGTGTTTATAAAGGCTCTTCATAAGTTCAACTTAGAATCTTAATAGTAGTTTCTGTCTTGCATACATTATTAGGTTATTTTATCATTATCATTTTTCTCTATTCTATTTTATTCTTTGCTATTATAGTTTGTGACTTTTCTAAATGTTCTGTCAAATTTTAGCACTTTTTGAATAATGGACTTATATTGAAGAAAATAATGTAAAATGGTTTCTGTGTTTACATAGCCTGATGTAAACACGGGGGAGGTTGGAAGAACACGAGATAAGCGTAGGAAACCACGACACGAAGCAGAGTGGTTTCCAGTTTATCGAGTGTTCTCCCAACCTCCCAAGTGTTTACATCAGGCTATGTGAACACAAAAACCATTTTACATTTCTTTTATAAAATAACTTATGAAAGAGGAACGAAAACCGTGTTTACATATGCTCATGTAAAATGGTTTCATGGCCAATCAGAGCGCATGTACTATTTGAATTATTTTATAAAATGATGTATCTTTAATAAAGTAG